TTATAGTGAAGCTTAAATAAATCAATCAAAAAGTAAATGGGGAGTAGAATAATTATGAATAGGTAACGGATAGTTTGAATTTTTTTTGCTCATCATTCATCAAATAACAAAAAGAAAATTCAAAAACAACACTGCATAATCAAAAAAGGCGTCAGTAAGTCCTTTTTATTTTCGTCAATGTGATATTTCTCGGAATTTTACCACTTAGCATCACGCTGAGATGATGAAACCAATTTTCGTTTAACTAATTTCCGTACTAGCACATCCTATCACTTTTATTATAAGAACATAAGGTGTTTACACCAAATTCATAAAAACAGCATTAAGTTGCAATATAAATGAAACGAATGTTCTGACACACTTTCTAAGTATAAATATTTGATAATATTAATAGTTCTGTTTAAAATGTTACATTTTCTCTTATAAAATATTGGTTGTATACACATCATCACTAGTTCAATGCCGAGAGCAAAAAAATACTGACCTCAAACAATTAAATAAAAATTAATCGTCAAATTGATTTTCTGTAAAGGTTATTGGATTTGCCATATCAAAAAAGTTTTACGCCAAGCTGCTAAAGCTATAGTAAAGAGCCTGAGAGCAAATATTTGGAGCGTGTGAACGATTAGCGAAACAAGTCATCATCGTCATAGGCGATCACTCGATATCCAGTATGATTATCTCCTATTCTTCTATTCTAAATGTCGTCGATTGGGCGTTTTCTGATTGCTATAAAAACCAATTCTGGAGTCGCACACCCAGTCTCTGGCAGCATTGTCTCTTCCTCTGTTCTCTTGCTCTTTCCTGCGGTCCCTCTTTTCGGTCCCGTATCTAGGTCACTGTTCTTTAAAAGTTTGTGGTCCATCGTGGACTACTCGACGCCATCGATGCGGCACTTTGCCATATTTTCCTTGAGAACATCTTTGTTGCCATCCTTGATTTGGTTTTCCCTCTTTCAGTTGACTGTAGAAAATCTGTCGTGGAAGACGTGTGACCTGTCCAACGGAGTTGATGCTTCCCTGCTAGTTGTTTTGGCCTCCTCTAAAACACTAATAACACTAATGTTTGTAGGATCCTTCTTAGGCATCGCTGGTGCTTTTTTTCTAGGCTTTTTATGTGCCTCCTGTACGTGGTCCGTGTTTAGCAGCCATATGTGAGTGTTGGTATCACAACTGCATTCTAGACGCGAAGTTTGGTCTCAGCGCTGATGTCGTGATGACTGTCTCTAGAAGTGGCCCGAACGCTGAACTAGCACACTTCAAGTGATGTTGGATTTCGGCGTCAATGATTGTATTTGCTGTCAGATGGCTCCCAAGGTATGAGTAGTGTTCTACGTTATGCAAGGAGTGGTCATTTATAGTTATGTTTAGGGTCTGGGGATCAGTGCGCGTAGCGGGCTGGTGCAGTATCTGCGTCTTGTTAAAGTTAACCCCTAGGCCGATTCTCGTGTATGTCTGGTTGAATGCATTGATAATTGCCTGAAGATCTTCTTCTGAATTGACCATCACGACGATATCATCCGCGTATTGATGTTCATTTATCGATGCACTCGATACTTTCGCCTTGGCTTGTAATCTGTTTAGGTTGAATAAGCCGCCATCAAGTGTCCCTATAAATAGAGAAAATAGAGTAGGTGCAATAATATAGCCCTGTTTAACGCTTGAAAATATTTTCCTTGTCCATCCTTGCTTCATATAATTATGCAACAGCAACAGGGAGTATCTGGATGCACTTTCGCGGACACCCAACCTTTGCCAATATCTTCCAAAGATCTTCTCTGTTGACCGAATCAAATGCTTCCACTAAATCTATGAAGGCTATGTATAGAGGGGGATTTTGTTCTCTGGATTTCTCTTGCATTTGTCATAAACTGAAAATCATGTCAGCTGTACCTCGGTTGGGTCTAAAGCCACACTGTGTCTCTGGGAGGTTCTCTTTGGCAGTTGGGATAAGACGATTTGATAATACTCTGGCAAGTATCTTTCCCACGACAGATAGTAAAGATAAAGAGCTCACAAACTATCCGAGAAAAGTGTAGAGACCTATCATCATATCCGTTATTAGTCATAGGGATGAGCCCTCAGCTAAAAAAATTGACAATCGGTTCGCTCAAAAGTTCAAGTTAAATCTCGCAGTTTAAATTTTTAAGAAAACTGTTCAATAATCTGAGTGTCCAAAATGCGACGCGACACATTCACCGTCTATCAATCTTGATATATAATCAGGAATATCAAAGTTCAACATTCGGGTCTATTCTGTAACTCAAATCGAATCGACAATCGAAAACTTGAATCGATAACTGTCGAACTTATCGATTTTTGAAAAAAATTGGTATTCTGTAACTTCTTCAGCAAAACCGAAATGGATTTCGATTGTCGATGGCTGCTCTCGATCACTTTCGAGCAACCGAAAAGCTCAAGTAACAGTATACAGTATCTTTCAAAAGTCTGGAAACGGTCAAATATTTTCAGAGCTGTTTAAAATAGAAACGAAATTTTCTGCAGAGGAGTAATTTTTGATGCCCGATTAAATTTCGTAATCATAATTTCAAGCCGTTGTGGAAATTATTGCAAACCACTGAACAGAAAGGTTGTGTTGTCATGTTCCAGAAACCGCGTAAAATAGGGATATGATATCTAGAAGTTTCACTAACAATAGAGCATAACATTTATCGCAATGAAAATAAACTGGTAAGTATTCCTATTTAAAAAAACGAAGTTACTTACACTATCTGAAAACCGGTAAACTTAGCAACATTATCGATGTCATCATTGGGCATCCATTAATTTCCCGTATACAGAAAATTTCGTAATTCTATTCCAAGCCGCTCTGGAAATATTGGACCGTTCCCAGACTTTTTAAACACAATGTATATAATTGGACAATTTTTGTTATAGGGATTTTTGTGTAAAAAAGTTCAATATTTGACCCTTTAAAGTAGGCGAAGCCAAATATCCCTACATCTAAAGATATGATTTTTCATACCAAAAATCCTGAAACTTGTAGATATTTTTTTTCTGAAATCGTTTTTTAGAAATCACCCTTCAGTTTCGGCAGGTAATTACCTACTAATTTGTATCTTTTATTTATAGAGTAAAACTATAAATAACAGGTCTTCTTTTAAATTTTCTCTTTACTTGGGGAAATGATTTATTCCGTAAATTTTTTCATTGATTGTAAGTTTTAATTGGGTCCATTGCCTATTCAGGCCAACTAGAAATTCTTCCCAAGGGTTTTTTACAGCATTATTATCGGCTTCCGTCGGTTTGGTTTTCCCGTGAAATAAAAGCTAATTTTTTTTCTGCGTAGTTCGAAAATCCATTTTAAAATTCGAATTTGTTGTCGCTTATTTGATTTGAGTTGATATGGACAGTGGTTGTCATGGTTCCTCCTACAATTTGCTTCAAATCGATATCTCGATTTAAATAATACTTGAACCCTATGCTGGAACAACGTTTCAAACGCCAAATTTTGTTTTGTTAGAAATTCGAAAAAAATAAAAAATAATCGATTGCTTTATCAAATATAGTGGATTTGTGCATGATATAGATATAACTTAACTGAAAAGAACTTAGCATCTCATAGGTATTGAAGACCACATGAAGAATTGTGATTTACGAGCATATTTTTCTCATTTCATTCAAACAACGTTGTATATCCATGTCGGTTACAACGTTGTTTCATGAAGCTAAGGCGGTTACAACGTTGTTTTAAGACTAAAAACCAACTAGGGCGAGGTTGCACTTACAACGTTGTTCCGCAAAAAGGACAAACTGGACCAATTAAAATGGCATCAATAACCCATCCAAAAAAATCCTATGCCCTACTATTAAGTAGGCGGATTATCCAGGGTACATACAGCGTTGTTCCACGAAAATACCGTTTTTACACATATTGTCGTTTGCAACGTTGTTCCAGCATAGGGTTCAATTATCGACTGCACTTACGAAAAGGAAATTTGTCAAAATCGATAAAGTTCATCTCGATTTCACCGTTCTTGATTGTACCTATATTAACGTTTTCGATCTTGATTTGATAAAAGTTACAGAACAGACTAGAATGATTGCTGTTCAGATTGACTTCTTCAGTATTTGAGAACATATCTTTATCAGTTACTAATTGCGAGGCAAAAAATGGAAATTAATGTTTGCAAAATTTTTATTTAAAACAGGTACCTATTTATTCCATCAGATCAAAAAGTTAGTCTTTTTGTGCTGAACTCAAAGTTTGAAGCTACAATTGAGCAAAGAACAAAAAGACCTTTTCTGCCGAATTATATACTATACATTTCATCTGCAAGGGACTGCAATCTGCAATGTTTCCTTTCCCAAGTTAATCACGGCAAATCATCGGCCGATGAAGCTAAAGCTGTCTTCCAAGTTAAGCAGTTGATCTCCAGGACAGACTCAGAGTGGTTCACAATTTGTCAGGAATCGTCTCTGTCGAACAGTGACAGAATGAAGATGAGACTTGACAAACCGCAGTGATTGATTTTTTCGAAAAGAACTCCTTTTGTTGAATTTTCAATCTGTAAAATAATAAAACTTGGAAAAAAATCCTATTTTTTCAAGCTTCTAGTTAAAAAATAATTTGCACAAAAAAAAAAAGAAAATTTTTCATGCGTATTTATTTTGGCGAATGACGTGTGTCTATAACATTCAGATAACGTACAGATGCTTATTTTACTATTGAGAATTAACTTTTATTTAACAATGTACGTCCAAATATACTATTAATCAAAACTTTTTCATGCAGTTCAAGTAAATCTAGTAATTATTCACAAAAATATTCGGTAGTATTTTTGAAATTAAATTTTACTTCTTTTGGTTCATTACGAACTTTCAGTATTAAAACCAATATTAAACCAGCAAAAGCTTATGATCAGAGCAAGTAAAACCATGATAGGGATACAATGAGCACCGTTAAGTATAATCACTCTGCATTGTGCAAGTAAATCTATTTATAGGTTTATGTGTTGAGGTTTTATAAATTGCTTAATAGTCAGTTCCAAGTTCCAGAGCAGAGACCTATCCAGTTGTGGGTAGATAACGCGTGCGGAATTATTTTAAAAATATCAAAGGTGTTGGAGGAGTCAAAAGTTGAGTCTCCTCCAATAGCTCACAATTTAGAATACTTCTTGAGAAAACATTCGCAATATATAGAATTTGTGCAACTCTTACCTGTGTGTGGTTCATTCATTCAACTTACAAACCATCATTGTTGCAAAGGTACCTACCGGACGACTTCGTGACAAAATAATCTTAAGGTTGCTTTTTGCTTCTGCATGTTTTGAGTGCTTATCATGGATGATTCCGAAGTAGATAGTTAGTATAAGAAACAGGAAAATATTTGTTTGCTTATTTGACATAGAAAAACATTCCTATATCAGTGTTTTCAATCTCATGACACTAGTCCAGTGAAAATATGGGTTTTCCAAAAAAATTTACGAGAACAGGCTGATTTTTTCAGAGCTGATTGGAGACTGTTTCCTGAGTATTGATCCAAAAAATCACACTCGAAAGCCTTGTGCGTTCGGCCCTATTGGCCTTTTTTTATTTTTTGTTTTTTTTTTCGACAAAATGACCTCAATATAAGTTGTAGATAATCTTTCTGATCAACTTTGCCTCATGACTTGTTTTGCTAGGTACCTATTTTAGTTTAGGCGCTGCGACCAGTTTAATGCTTCAGAATTCGGAAAAAATTAAATAGCAAATCTGCAGATTTATTGTACAGGGTCTGTTCCTTGTAATTAGTGCGGCTTCTACAACTTAAACAAATTTTTTTTTTTTTGAAAATCTTAAATGCAAAAGTAGTAGGGTTTTACCTCTATTACATTTTGCACATCTCAAAACCGGCAAAGGACAGGTGCCAATTGCCATAATGACAAACTCTTGCATTTTTTTAAACGGAACACCCGAACACTGAACTGCCTCCAATCAGTTCTAAAAAAGTCAGCCTGCCCTCGTAAATTTTTTTGGAAAACCCATCTATTTATCTTCTCCTCTGCGATTCTTTGTTTAGTCTCCCAATGTCCCTATCAGTATCACTTAACAAGCGCTTTTATACATACTGTTTATTATTTCTAGATAAATTTATTGAACTTGCATTAATTGATTCCAAACTAATATCCAATATTTTAATGCTTTTTTATTACGATAACATTAGGGATCGAAATATACACGTCAATTGGATATAAATCTAAACATACACAGAGAAAACCTATTTCCTAACTCAGGTAAATTTTACGATTACTAGGTCATGAGCGCGCTTTGCGCGCTTTTTTTTTAAATCAAGTCCATTAAAATAATTATAAAATGGAGAATATTTATTAGGTGTTGTACAAAAAACGGCATAATTTTTGATTTAAATGTACACTATACATTAAATGTAACAGTGAGATAAGTTGTATAGATGTTATTTTAGTGAAGAAATTTCAAATGCGATGGATGGAGTTGGTGACTAATTATTTTTCTATGGTATATCATAATGATTTTAAATCGATCACATTTCTTGAATGTACGTACGGTGTGCGTATGTCTACTTATCTCATTCTGTTTTATGGAACTCGTAGGTATAGATTTTTCGAAGTGGTTTAATTAAAACAGAATAATCATAACCATAATCAAGGTGTTATTATAAACCGAGTTATTAACTATTTATGTGCTGTGGTATAATACGAGATATCGAGTCTTAATTTTTTTTTTACATTTTCATGAAGTTCCTTTTTTTTTTATTAGGCCAGTTATTGAAGTCTACTCGATCAACATTTTACTGCAAACAATCGAAAAAAATTTTTTTTTAAAAGATTTTAAATTCAATTGCTCAATTATTCAACTTACACTTTTTGTTTGTACCTACGTGGTAGACATAAATTTTGAATGTGATCAAAGTAGTTGGTGAATTATTACTTTTGCGGTACATCGTAATGACTTTAAATCGATCTTATTTTTTGAATATACGGTGTGCATATGTCCAGTGCATCTTATTCTGTTTTATGGAACTCGTAAGAATCCAAAGTTTAAAGAGTGTGCTAAGTCTTCATGTCGTTCTTCGTTATTTTCAATCATTTATGTTTATCGTGTTCAGGTTTTTGTCTTGTGATCTTCAAATATCTTGTAAATAAGTTGTAAAGATCTTCTGAAATCACCTATGACTGCAAAATTTCAAAATTAAATTATCAAAAAAACAATTCTTTAAAAACATGGTTTTTGACAACACTATTGCTTCTTTGTTTCCCTGAATAAACTTTCAATGAGTCCCACGAACGAACTCTGAAAAGCGCCACATAAAGTTGTCCGTGACTAATACATCCTTTCTGGAGATCAATTACAATCCTATCAAATGTTTGTCGTTGAGATTTGCTAATCGTCATTCATTGCAAAGGCTAATTTTATTTTAAAATTGTCTTTGTTTGAACGTAAAGGGGTAGACGTTTTCGCAGTAGAGCGTTATTCGATTTATGAACACTATTTCTCCCTGTTTATCTACAGTCAATATCTCACAGCGTAACAGATTATCCCCAAGTTCCAGAACTAAAGGCCTTGTACCATTGCAAAGGCCTGCACTGATGCTTAGATTTCTAATAAGCATACAATAGAATTCGTTTTCAATCGTAATTCATGGAGCGGGAATTCGGCGGATTAAGCGAATTTAAATATTTTGGAAGAATAGCCATAGGAATAGGAATCATTTAGGTCACTATTATCACTATTGGAAAACTCTATACATACCTAGATTCTTCTATTGGACCTCGAAAAAATATTAAACCACTTCCTTGCTTTGAAAAACAACCATCTACAGAGTAATATCTAATAGCACAGCTAATAGGCATATTGTCAAAGAATTGTCACATAAATAAAAAATTCACAGTCCTTCACAAAGATGCAACCGAGGAGAACATTGAAAATGCCGAAGCAAATTTCAACGCTAATGCTTGTGATTATTGTGAGCTTTGAGATCCGCTAAAATTCAACCCTTTTCAGATTTTCCAGAATTTTTCCGACCCAATCCAGAAATTTCCATGCGTCCAGACGTTTCCAGAAATTTCCAGACTTTATCCAGATTTTTCCAGACTTAGCTAGACTTTATTCAGACTTGTCTAAATTTCTCCAGACCTTATCAACCCTTTTCCAGACGTTTCCAGAAATTTCCAGACTTTCCCAGACTTTATCCAGACTTTTCTAGACTTAGCTGGATTTTTCCAGACTTTATCCAGACTTGTCTAGATTTCTCCAGACCTAATAGAGCCTTTTCCAGACGTTTCCAGAAATTTTCTGGCTTTTCCAGACTGTATCCAAACTTATCCAGACTTTTCCAGATTTAGCTAGACTTTATCCAGACTTGTCTAGATTTCTCCAGACCTTATCCAGCCCTTTCCTGACCTCTCCGGACTTCTTCCAAACACTTTCCCGACTTCAAATACACTTTTCCAGACTTTATCCAGACTTTTCTGAATTTCTCCAGACCTTATCAAGCCTTTTCCAGACGTTACCAGAAATTTCCAGGCTTTTCCAGACTTTATCCAGACTTTTCTAGACTTGGCTAGATTTTTCCAGACTTTATCCAGACTTGTCTAGATTTCTCCAGACCTAATAAAGCCTTTTCCAGACGTTTCCAGAAATTTTCTGGCTCTTTTCCAGACTTTATCCAAACTTATCCAGACTTTTCCAGACTTAGCTAGACTTTATCCAGACTTATCCAGACTTGTCTGAGTTTCTCCAGACCTTATTAAGCCTTTTCCAGACGTTTCCAGAAATTTCCAGGCTTTTCCAGACTTTATCCAGACTTTTCCAGACTTAGGTAGATTTTTCCAGACTTTATCCAGACTTGTCTAGATTTCTCCAGACCTAATAGAGCCTTTTCCAGACGTTTCCAGAAATTTTCTGGCTTTTCCAGACTTTATCCAAACTTATCCAAACTTTTCCAGACTTAGCTAGACTTTATCCAGCCTTATCCAGACTTTATCCAGACTTGTCTAGATTTCTCCAGACCTTATCCAGCCCTTTCCTGACCTGTCCGGACTTCTTCCAAACACTTAACCCGACTTCAATTAGGTATAAGTAATTGCCTATCTATGAGTCAGCACCAATGAACTATGTCAGCACTTATAGTCTGGGAGTTAACGACATATTTCATTGTACCATTTCCGCAAGCTTCATTCTTTTTGTATGTGTTATGCGTGTAGTATATGATAGTAATATGATCGTCTGCCGGCGCACCAACACGACAGGGGGTTACAGGAGGGTTACAATTACAGCAAAAAATGAACGAAAAAAACTTAAAGCCGCATAAGCGAAACTTATTGTACATATTGGTAGAAACATAGAAAGCTCAGAAAATATGGTCTGCCACCTAAATTCCGCGACAAAAGTCGTCTGCCACCCACATAAGTGAAAAATTTTAAAAAAAATATACCCGCAAGGCTGAAATTAATTATTTTCACAGTGAGTTTGACAAGTGTCAAAAAGAGAAAATAAATATTCCAAGTGAAAATTTTAATTTCCATTTTGAGTGTATGTGATGAATCCTTCTATAATCTCTTTAAGAACTCTAGAACATTAGACTTGAGCTTTTCACAATTCATTTTGGTTAGCCTTACAAAAAAATAAAAAAATAAACAGGAATAAGAAAAAAATGCAGCGTCCTAGCGGTGGTGGTCGGGCACTGCATGCCGAACCCAACTTCATAGACTTGGCAGACGATCTTCGTTGTATCTTATTCGTGGCAGACTATCATGTTTGTGTTTGTTTCCATAAAAAAAAGTATTTTAATTAATTTCAGCCTTACGAGTATATTTTTTGTTTTTAATTTTTTTTTTGCGCTTACTTATGTGGGTGGCAGACGACTTTTGTTGTGGAATTTAGGTGGCAGGCCATATTTTCTGAGCTTTCTACGTTTCTACCAATATGTACAATAAGTTTCGCTTATGCGGCTTTAAGTTTTTTTCGTTCATTTTTTGCTGTAATTGTAACCCTCCTGTAACCCCCTGTCGTGTTGGTGCGCCGGCAGACGTTCATATTACTATCATATACTACACGCATAACACATACAAAAAGAATGAAGCTTGCGAAAATGGTACAATGAAATATGTCGTTACCTCCCGGACTATTAATGTATGCAAAAGCGGTGACAACCTTGAACTAACATAAACATATCGATTTTATATTCAGATTGCCTTATTTGCATAATTAAAGCGGTGAGAACCTTGAACTAACATCTCGCTTTTATA